TTGCTGTGTCTTGTCTTTTCTGAGCCCTCTCTTCATATTACCATAATCAAACAATGGACCTGGTTAGCTAGTCTCTCTATGCAATTGATCAAATTTTCTCAATTAGACGACATGGTAAAGGAGACCCGTCCTGTCCTGCCGGGACATACTTCGTGGGATACACCCTGGACTCCTGGAAGGTTTGGAAGATAGTGTATTTATTGATGTTGACATGGAAGACATATACATGTTTGGATTTGGAGGATACCTGATGTATCTACAATTACAGAGGATGTCAGAGGCAACTTATGCATTGACCAGGCTGCCAGCAGCGGTTTACGCGCTCACAAAGGCTGTGTACAAGCAGGACTGTGAATTGAGCCGTATGCTGGATGTGATGGAAACACAAGCTGGCTGCGGTTTAACTCAAAGTTGAGATGGGATAATACCTTGGATGTGCACACTGGGTTTAAGGTGAAAAAGCCCAACAGATTTGGAATATTGGATGTGGAGCCCAGCAAAAATAGACTTCAAGGCTGATGAAAAATTCTATGCAGCTTGCTTTGAAAAAAAAAAAAAAAATGTATTTTTGGATTTTGGCCTCCCCCTTATCAAAAACTCCCCTGGATGTTACGGTGGAAAGGCCCAGAACTGCCAGCTCCCCCACCCTCCTCTGCCCTCGGACACCTGTGGACGCATTCAGAACTGTAGCACCTATTAATAAAGTTCCATCTTATGACCTACAATGGCCTCTGGACAGCTTTCATGGACAATTTGAACGCACTCACACGCAACTGATGCTCAAATACCAGATAGACTCACATGTGACTCTCAGCCTCCAATGTTAACCCTCTGCTGAAATGTTTTTCTCATGTTTATATGTGCTTTTCTAGTGCTTAGGTGTTTTTTGATTTGATCTCAAATTATACACCGTCAAGGATAAAATGTGAAATGTGTTGCCTCTGCCTCACAATGTGGCTCCTATCTTTCCACAGAGATGTGCCCTAAGGAAACTGTCTCATGGCGAGGCCCCCAGCAGCCAAAAGAATGCGTCTAACAGCACCGTTCTTTGGCAGGGATGGGCTCAGTCAAATCGTTCCCCTGTCCAGCCCCCCAAGTATGTGTTGAACGTGTTGAATTACAATGCAAATTGTGGTTGACAATAAAGATTGATTGATTGATTGATTGATTGATTGATTGATTGATTGATTGATTGATTGATTGATTGATTTACTATGTCTCTTAGCTGGCCTGGGAATTCCTCAGGGTGTCTGGGGAGAGGTAAGTTTGGAATTCTCTGCTAAGACTGCTTCCCCCAGAACTTACTGGTGATCATGTGTGATGATCTGGCCTGTTTGCTCCTCCTTAATTGGATATTTCTTTCACCTGTCGTTTTCCCTCCCTGCCTCAATTATAATTTATTCCTCTCACCTGTTTCCTCTGGGTTATTTTCAGTTCAGCCTGAGCATTCAGGGCCAGATCATTATTTGTCTTTCTGTTAGCCTGTCTGTTATTTTGATTTCTTGGTTCATGTCCTGGATCCTTGCAGCCAGTGGAAAGAGGTTTTTGTGTTTGTCTCATTTCCTGATCGTCCACTGTTCCTCCCCCGCGGAGTCCTCTGGGTTTTTGGTTCTATATGTGGGGAGGTTCAGTTTTTATCTTAGTAAGCCTGGCTCCAAGGAGAAGACCAGTTTAAAGTTCCTGCATCAAGTTCCGGTTCCACGTCCTGTCTCGGCTACCCTCTTCCACTGAGCCTGCCTGTCTGCACCTGATCCTGTCTGCTCCTGTGCGTGACCACCTGGTCATACTTCCGGTCCCAGTCAGACTCTGAACCGGCCTGGGAGCTCTATGATGCCTGGAAGCCTGGATCCTGCCACCTGTCTGTTCCAGCCTGATCTGGATCCTGTTCTGTCTGTTTTGGATCCCTGACCAAGATCGGCTTTCCTGCATGACCTCTGGGACTGCAGCACTGGGGACACTCTTGGACTGGACTGTTAAACCAGGTAAGTGACCAACTCAGATAATCATCTTCTGTCAGATGAACATGGTCACTTACCTTTGTTTCTCCCACTACAGAGTGTCAGAGATTGGACGGTGCCCCGCCCCCCCGCCTGCAGTTGCCGCGTGCCACAGATCCTAGCAGCTCCCCTTTAAGTTTTGTTTTTCATTAAATAAACCCTTTGAACTTTCCTACTGACTGTCTCTCCTTGAATACTGGGTCCATCTGTCCGCGCTTTATGACATCATGTAAATAAACTTTACTTGAAATTAACAAAAACCTAAGAATCCAGTGATGAGATATGAGAAACTAGGGGAAAAATATGGAGAGAATGTAACTGGCATTTGTTGGTCGTTAGAGCAGAAGCTGAAGTAAATAAACTAATTTCATATGGACAAAGGTCGAAAGTGAAACTAAGGCATATAGGAACTTAACACATTAACTCAAATCAAATAACTCAAATAACCTTATATCATTACACAATATTTTTTCATTTATTCTTATAATCAGTTTAATCCAAAATCAGATCTTTGTTTTATTAAACAATGACTAATGCACCTATTAATGACAATTATGATAATCAGCTCATCTGTGCATATATTTGAACATTTGGTTTGACAAAGCAATACATGTAAATGTCAACAGTTCAGTTTTTTTTTTTAAATCCTCCTCAGCACAGTCTGAATGGCTGAACCGAAGCTGGAAGTTGCTTCCACCCAAACAAACTACAACATCAACAAAATCCCATAAGAAAACAGTTCTAGCAAGACAGCTGTCCTCTACAGTGAAGAAATTACACATCAACGAGACTAAAGAAACTAGAAAAAATACACCTTTTAACCAACTTGACCTTATATCAACTCTGACTATTTCAGTTTAAGAAACTCAGCGGAGCTTCCACCATAAGGCTTGGCGGTATCATGCACACCAAACCCTGTTCCAGCATATAGAGGCTGAGTGAATCTGGTCTGGACTCTATGGAGGAGAGTCAGTGTTTCAGAGACGCTGTAGAAAGACAGAATACCTGCTCTGTGATCCAGATACACTCCCACTCTGGAGGAAACTGGAATAAAAAATCGTTTTTCATTGCTGTTGTGAAAAAATTTGAAGAACCTTTTGCAACAGAATAATAACCAAGAGTTTTCATTGAGTCCAAATTTACTGTCAGCCAGTTTCCCTGTCCTGCTGATGTTCCTATATGAAACTGCTACATAAACTCCATCCCCTTTCCACTCCACCTCCCAGTAACAGCGTCCAGTCAGACTTTCCCTGCTAAGGATCTGGTTATAATCCGTGAATCTATCTGGATGATCAGGATAAGGCTGTTTTACTTCCTTATAGGTCACTTTTCTGTTCCCCTCAGATAATATCAGATTTCTGTTTGCTGTATTTGGATTCAGAGTGATTTCACATGAATATTTAAGCAATTCAGATCTGGTTGTCGGTTCTGGTTCTGACAGCAAAACCTCCACTTCCATTACTGTCAGTAAGATGTTTGCCCATGTGTCTCTCAGGATGTCTTCTACTTTACCTCTGATCTCTGACACGGTTGCTGTCACATCCTCAAAGTATCTTGGAGGGTGAATAGTGATGCTGGATGAGTGTGTAGACTCACTGAGTGCTGACAGTGAGGGGTAGTTCTGGAGAAACTGGTTCAGATCCTCAGTGTTTGAGAGCTTCTCCAGCTCAGCTTCTTTCCTCTTCAGCTCAGTGATCTCCTGCTCCAGCTGTTCCTGAAGTTCTTTCAATCGACTCACTTCAGCTTCCTGCTGGGATCTGATCTGCTGCTTCACATCAGAGCTTCTTTTCTGGATGTGATGAATCAGCTCATTGTAGATCTTCTCACTGTCCTCCACTGCTTTATCAGCAGAGACATTGATGGCCTCCACCTCCTGTTGAAGCAGCTTCACTTCTTTCATTTTGTCTGTAATTTTGGCCTGGATCAGGCTCCGAGGTGAGCTGGGGTTCTCCTGGAGCATCTTGGAGGGGTTCATCAGCTTGTGTTGTTTCATCGCAGGTACCTCAAAGTGAGGTTGAAGGTGACTGTCGCAATAAGAAGCACTACAGACCAGACAGGATTTAACAGCTTTCATCTTTGTCCCAACGCAGACATCACAGGCCACATCTGTAGTTCCAACATAGCAGTGATCATCTGCTGCAGCTTGGAGTCCAGTCCTCTTTAGATCTTCCACTAATTCTGCTAACATGATGTTTTTCTTCAAAACAGGTCTTGTTCTAAATGTCTCCCTGCACTGAGGGCAGCTGTAGGTTCTCCTTTGATCTTCTCCATCCCAGACATTTTTAATACAGTCCATACAGTAGCTGTGTCCACAGGGAATAGTCACTGGATCCTTCAGTAGATCCAAACAGACGGAACAAGAATATTTGCTTGAGTTCGTCTGAGTTCGTAGATGTGCCATTTTAGTCCCTAAAAATGCCTATAGCCTCTCTCCTTTTCAGCTAATAATTATGTCATGAAAAAGCTAAACTTTATTTCTGTTCTCATTGAATCACTGATCTCAGCAGCTGCCACTTGCTAGCCCTTCAACACAATGAAGAAATTCTGGCTTTGTCTTATCTTTGAATAGAAGCACCAGGAAATATACTGCCCGTCTCTCAGTGTGCTAAAGGTGGGAGTGGTTATCACTGCATGTTTTGTTCCAGGTGAATGAGGAGTTAAAATGTATTTTCTTAGGCAGGTAAAAACTTTTTTTCTGAAAATCCTGTACCTACTATAAATGATAAATATGAGAAACGTATTTTTGATGAAACATTTAAAATATCTTTAAAACTTGTCAAAGACATCTCTATCCCTCCAAACACCAGACATTGTTTAGACAGTGGCTTTTAGGCTAAATCTGGTCGGTCCGTCACAGTCTTAATTTAGTCAAGACACAGTTTTTGAAAGTTGGGCTGTGTTTGTTCAGTCTCATTTTGTACAACTCTTGTCCAATCATACACATTAAAAAGAACTTGCAAACTCAGTTAACAACTTTTCAACGATCTGAAAATTCTGGATTTTCACCTTTCACTTTTAGACCAAATGTAGATGGTGTTTGGACGTAAATCATGTCTTTTCAAAGTCTTTTAAACCATCATATGCTCTGTGGAATGTGTTGTCTGAGAAAGGCTATTATTAGAAACAATTCATGCTTAAGATATTAGTCACCCTGTCTATAATCTTGTGAACAGGTAGGACCTGGACTGACGGGTTACTGTGACAAACAACGTCCTGTAAGAGATACTGTATAGGCTTGACCTCATAGGCCAGTCCAACAACTTATTTTAATTACTAAATAATCATCTTGGTGTTTGATCATGGTTTTCATGTTTTCATTTGTTTTGTGTGTGACCATGTCTTTGTTATCCTATGGGGACAATTTCTCAGGACTATGGTTCATTTTGGGGACTAACTAAGTGGTGTGGACCAATGACTGGTCCCCCTATGTTTCCCAAAGGCAGTAATGCATAAGTTAGCCATAGTGATTTAGTCTGAGCAGCTAGCCTTCTCCAGAGCAGGCTAACATCCAGGCTTAATTAATCCTTGAGTGTTGACTGCTCTGTCAGACGTCACACCAATCACAAATTAATTAGTTTAATCAGTGATTCCATTGTTTTATCTGTGTGCTTTGGTATTATTCAACTTTAAAATATCACTTGTGTATTTCAATGAAATACTTTTGATTATTTCAAAATTATAATGATGTCATTTGATATTTTATTATATCAACATCATATGACACCATAATAATCTTCACAATCATCCATATGGAAAAGAAAGTCAATCATCAAAAATTCAAACACTGAAAGTTCTAATATTTCCTTCTAAAAAAAGTAAAAACTTATGATGATACCACTTTTTTTTCAATGAGATATTATTTCAGTGTCACTGCAAAGTTGCTTCAGCTACGATTTCACTAGAAGCTGGCATTGTTTTTGTGCAGGGGGGCGGGCCTAAACTGAGGGCTGCTTAAGAGTCCTTCAATTTTGCGGGCAATTCCTATACACCTTTCCGACTGGAAAAGCTGTTTAAAACATCTTTTACTGGTAGGGGGAATGGCTTACTGACACGTGTCGACCCTATCCAGCATAAAGGCAACCAATCCTGTAAGTTTAGTTTCAAATTAAGCAATCTGATTACCTATAGTTTAAGATGAGAACAGGAGCTCACGTAAGCTATGCAGCTAAATCACTGAGAGACCCTGAAGGAGCCTTTAGTTTAGCCCCGCCCCCTAAAACTGTCCAAGCTTGTAGTGACATTGCTCCCAAATGTAGCACAACCATGAATACATGCTCCTTCTCTGCACTTGTTGTTTGCTTTTTATGCATCTATGGATTTCTCTTACCTGTGTGTGGACCTGTTTCTGTGAGCTCATGTCAAATTTTGTCACTTTTAAAGTATTTTCCACAAATAAAATAACGTGTACTCTTCTTCCTAGCTATGCAACTTCAGGCAAACCATTTCTCTTTAACAGTTGAAGGCTTGTTAGCAAATCATCATTAAATTAACACTGTCTGAATACTGGATTCTGATTGGCTGCTGGGTGTCCATTAAAAAACTATTATAAGACACCCACAAAAAAAAAAGTTCCAGTCAAATAGTTTCTGCTAGCTCAAACATTAGCTGAAAACAGGAAGACAGTATATGATGGTTACCTTGGCAACACATCAGAAGTCAAGATAAGGGATTTCATGAAATTTTGTCCAGTGGTTAACACCTTCAAAGTAACAAAAGTTATTAGGAGCGTGAGATGAGTCGTTTATCAGCGTCTGTATGAAGTTAATCTGCTTGTGGGAGTATTTATTGCATGTGTGCCTTTTTCGCAGAATACTGATGCCATAACAAACCCAGTCAGGAAACATCAATGATGGCTCAGGGAGCTATTTATATTTTATTTCTTTGGATTTACTTTCACATTTTAATCCATGTAGAACAGGACAAATATTACATTCACTACAAAATTAGAACATTAACAGATTATAGAAAATAATCTGTTTATAACTGTTAGCAGCCATTGTCAGAGGAACACTTAAATTAAACAATAATTAGATTTAAACACAATTAGCCCAGCAGCACTAGAATACTACAACTGAATAATACTGAACTGTCAAAGATTAAGTGTTTTTTTTTTTTTTTTTACAGACATGAGAGGACAGGGATTCAATGAAAACACATAAACCAATTCATATTAGAGTCATTATTTTTGTTTTAACAAAAAAAAAAGGCATCAATTTAAAATGACACCTAATCTTGAAAAAAAAAAACATGGCAAAAGTCAAATGAATAAAATGGTCTAAATGATCTAACAGGTGTTTTGATTAAGTAATTATTTCCTTTTTATCTCAATTCCAAGATCATTTAAATACCTTTTACAATATATTTGTGAACTATACCTTAATCTTCCCAGTTTATAGAGTTGTCACATGATTGTTGAATAAAACTATTGTTTTGACTTTTCTGAATTGATAAACTTACATGCAGATGTTTAAAGTTTCAATGACCTAATGGATCTGGTTTGAAGCAGAAGTTCTGGGAAAACAATCACTGAAAATGCTCAGAGAAACAAAGGAGAAATAACCACAATAGTTGTATAGTTTCCATAGTCATCACTGTAAAAGAATAAACATCTAAATTTTATATATTTGATGTGTATTTTTTATATTATTCTCAAACTAAAAATGTATTCAAATCCTCTATATTAATGTCCTTTCCTTACCATAGTTATATTTCTGACTAGATTGTGTCACTTTTTTTAAGGGAGTACCTTTTTTTCTGTTTTTTACGCTTTAAAAATTAGTTGTTCTGTTTTAAAATGATAATATAGAAGGGATTTTGTAATTGTATAGGCTTGTATTTAAAAATAGCTCCTATGTATAAGCATTTACAGTTAAGCTAGATATAATAAGAGCTTATAACAAGAGGATCTTCACTGGCCTAAAAGGTCCATCAAGTAAATCTTGTTGTTGAACGTTTGTCTTGAGGTGTTTGCAGCTCAATAAAGAAAATGGAATCAAAACATGATTTCATGTTTAGTATGATTTTTTGTGTTTTTCTATGTCTAATATAACCTTGAAAGACTCCAATTGTATATTACCATACCCACATTTTACAATAAATATATTTTTTCTCACATAAAAACCAAACAAACTCTGTAGCTCTGGTCTATTCAGGTTGTTTAAACTCGGCAAAGTCTCCCTCATCGAAAAGCCGAACACCAGCATATAGAGGCTGACTGAATGTGGTCTGGACTCTATGGAGGAGAGTCATGGTTTCAGAGACGCTGTAGAAAGACAGAATACCTGCTCTGTGATCCAGATACACTCCTATTCTGGAGGAAACTGGACCTGGTACAGGAGTTCTAACACTGTTGTGCAAAGATAGATAACCCTTTGTGTGACAGCGTAACACCCAGGATTTATCATTGAATCCAAACATGCATTCATCTGACGTCCCGTCTCTGCTGATGTCTTTGTAGGCAACTGCAAGATTAGTTACTTCTGCTTTCCACTCGACCTCCCAGTAACAACGTCCTGTCAGTCTCTGGATGCTGAGCACCTGATCATAAAATGTAAATCTGTCTGGGTGATCAGAGTAAGGTAGGGACTTCTTCTTAAAAGTCACCTTTCTGCATTCCTCGGAAAGTAAAAGTTGTGTAGATGTTGTGTTTGGGTCCAGTGTGATTTCTTGTGAATATTTTAGGAATCCAGCTCTGGTCTTTGGTTCTGGTTCTGACAGTAAAACATTTACTTCAGTTATTGCCAGTGAGATGTCTGTCCTCATGTCTCTCAGGATGTTTTGCAGTTTTTCTTTGAGCCCCACCACAGCTGCTGTCACATCCTCAAAGTATCTCAGAGGACGAATATTGATGCTGGATGAGTGTGTAGACTCACTGAGTGCTGACAGTGAGGGGTAGTTCTGGAGAAACTGGGTGTGATCCTCTATAATTAAGAGCTTCTCCAGCTCAGCATCTTTCCTCTTCAGCTCAGTGATCTCCTGCTCCAGCTTCTTCTGAAGCTCTTTGACTCGACTTACTTTGGTTTTCTGCTGGGATCTGATCTGCTGCTTCACATCAAAGCTTCTTTTCTGGATGAGACGGATCAGATCAGTGAAGATCTTCTCACTGTCGTCCACTGCTTTATAGCCAGAGACAAATATGGTTTTCACTTCCTGTTGAAGCAGCTTCACATCTTTCTCCTGGTCCTGGATTCTCCGCTGGATTTGTTGTCGTATCCCCTGAAGCTCCTTCTGCTTCTCAGTCCTTTCTGCTGCAGCTGGGACTGTTTCATGACCTTTATGTTGATTCATGGTGCAGAGATAACAGATACACTGCTGATCAGTACGACAGAAGATCTTCATCACCTCATCATGACGAGAACAGATGATCTCCTCAAGCTTCCTAGAGGGGTCCACCAGCTTATGCCTTTTCAATCCAGAGACATCATTGTGAGGCTGGAGGTGATTCTGGCAATAAGAAACTAAGCACACCAGACAGGACTTGACAGCTTTCATCTTCTTCTCAGTGCAGACATCACAGGCCACATCTTCAGGTCCAGCATAGCAGTGATCAGCTGCAGCAGCTTTATGTCCAGTCTTCTTCAGATCATCTACTAATTCTGTTAATACAATGTTTTTCTTTAAGATAGGTCTACGTATAAAATTCTCCCTACACTGAGGGCAGCTGTAGATCCTCCTCTGATCTTCTGTTTTCCAGAAGTCTTTAATACAGGTCATACAGTAACTGTGTCCACAGGGAATAGTTACTGGATCATTCAGTAAATCCAAACAGATGGCGCATGAGAATCTAGCTGCGTCAGTCTGACTTCTTGGCTGGGTCATTTTAATCCCTGAAAAAACAAACAAAAAAGCCTATAGCTCCTTTCTGTACTTTTCAGCAAATACACAAATCGCACCAAAATCCAAGCTTCTTTTGTTTGTCAATTAGTCACTGACCTGCAGCAAGTTGAGTTGTTGGCGCCTTTAACAACAATGCAAAGGTTTTGACTAAGGCTGATCTATGAATGGAAGCATCAGGAAGCTGTCAGGCTGCTTTAAAGATGGGAGTGGTTCTCACTCCATGTTTAATTCATTAAAGTTTCAATTTATAAGCAGACTCTGTAGCCAGCTTTATCTGTCGTCTTTTGGTCAAACAGTTATTCTCTTTTTAAATCACATTTTTGTGTAAGTTATTGAGGTACAATCTGATGAAAAAGCAAAAAGCTCTTCGACACTTTTCTGTGTTGCACGAGGAAAGACAAATACAAGACAAACTGCATGCCGAAAATGGGCCTCATGTTATCTTTAACCAGATGAACTGGTTGAAGTTATGTTTTCCCGTAATGAGCATGTACACGGAAGGCATGCAGATGGGTAAAGTATAGAGTAGGATTTTTTTTCTTTTCGTTCCAAACTGGGGCCACAGGTTAGGAGAGCCTCAGAAAACTGAAGGGACAATACGAAAAGAAATATGCAAAAATTATAAAATAAGATACAAATGCTTTATTCCTTCTATTCTATAAATTTTCATCTTTTTTTTTTTTATAAAATAGAAATCTTATTTATACTGTTTTTTAATACAGAGCAAATTTACTTCTCTGTATTGCTCAGGGACCCAGAGTGGCAGTCTATGAAAGTGGGGGATTGTACTCACAACCTCAGGATTTAAAGCCTTATGCCCTAACCACTAGGCCGCCACTCCCCCTATACATCAAACTTAAATGAAAAACTCTGGGAATTTTAATTGAAACTTTTGTTGCCAGAGCACTGATATGCCTACTGTCTTTTACAACTTCCTACTTGAGTTTTCCTTCTAAAACCAAAGGTTCTCAAAACAATAGGTATACCACATCTAAATCCTGGACAATGATAGACATATATTAATGGGAGATATTAAGCCCACCCTGACGTTCGAGAATGGTGGCATGAAGGAGCAGGAGATTGATGGATAGATCAGTGCAGCTGCTTTATAATTCAACCACTAGCCCAAAGACGAAACTCTTGATTTACCAGCTGGTCTACTATCCTACCTCCACCTATTGTCTTGAAATGTGAAATGTCATTTTCTTAAAAACCAAGACCCTAGATACAAGCAGCTAAAATGAGCTTCCTTTACATGCTGTCCAGGCATCCCATTTATTTAGATTGATTAGCTCGGACATTCGGAAGAGCGTCGGAGTAGAGCCGCTTCTCCTCAACATCGAGAGGAATCAGATGAGGTGTCTCAGAGAGCTATTGGGTGCACCCCATAACCACTTCCTTTGGAAATGTTCTAGGTACATCCCAACCGAAGGAGACCAAAGGAACAGCCCTAAATTGGCTGGAAGTAAGGTTTCTGTTCTGCTCTCGGCAGAGGCGGTCGCATTTTCCGGCTGCTCCTGTACCTCCCTGCTCTGTGTTTGCTTTGCTGTGTCTTGTCTTTTCTGTGCCCTCTCTTCATATTACCATAATCAAACAATGGACCTGGTCAGCTAGTCCCTCAAATTTTCTCAATTAGACGACATGGTAAAGGAGACCCATCCTGTCCTGCCGGGACATACTTCGTGGGATACACCCTGGACTCCTGGAAGGTTTGGAAGATGGTGTATTTATTGATGTTGACATGGAAGACATATACATGTTTGGATTTGGAGGATACCTGATGTATCTACAATTACAGAGGATGTCAGAGGCAACTTATGCATTGACCAGGCTGCCAGCAGCGGTTTACGCGCTCACAAAGGCTGTGTACAAGCAGGACTGTGAATTGAGCCGTATGCTGGATGTGATGGAAACACAAGCTGGCTGCGGTTTAACTCAAAGTTGAGATGGGATAATACCTTGGATGTGCACACTGGGTTTAAGGTGAAAAAGCCCAACAGATTTGGAATATTGGATGTGGAGCCCAGCAAAAATAGACTTCAAGGCTGATGAAAAATTCTATGCAGCTTGCTTTGAAAAAAAAAAAAAAAATGTATTTTTGGATTTTGGCCTCCCCCTTATCAAAAACTCCCCTGGATGTTACGGTGGAAAGGCCCAGAACTGCCAGCTCCCCCACCCTCCTCTGCCCTCGGACACCTGTGGACGCATTCAGAACTGTAGCACCTGTTAATAAAGTTCCATCTTATGACCTACAATGGCCTCTGGACAGCTTTCATGGACAATTTGAACGCACTCACACGCAACTGATGCTCAAATACCAGATAGACTCACATGTGACTCTCAGCCTCCAATGTTAACCCTCTGCTGAAATGTTTNCCCACATCGCCTGTCTTGTCAAGTAATGATGAGGTTTGTTTATGTAGATGATTTTATAATCGTATTTTATCAGACAGTGTGGGGTATAGATTTCATAGAAGTCCAACTCGACACAGACCCATTCCAGTGTAATGATGATCCGTACAGTCACTAGTTGGTCAGCGCAAAGATGTCTGCCTCCATTAATGTGACACCTGCGCCTGTGTAATTATCATAAGTAGCTATTTCTAAGGCAACGCACACATAAAGATTGAGACTTTCAGTTTGCACTGTACACGATAATAAACAACATATGTATATTACATTTCTATCAATAAATCCTTGTAATTGTAGAGCATTGTAGCTTTAAAAAAATGAAAGAAACAGAAGGTTTGGCTCATTTTAAGAGAAAAGCCATCTTGGTTAATAAGTTAAGCTACTTTTCTCTGACCTTTACTCAGCAGTCTAACAGTCAGCAACAGCTTAAAAAAACTGGCAATAAAAAATTTAAACCATAAACAGCAGGACTATGAAGACGGTTTTTAAATAAAGGAGCAGAGGATTTTATAATACAGATAAAAAGATCAGTTTTTTCTTTTTTTATTGCAGCAATATGAATACCGATGTAAGTATGCAGACATATGGCAGATTATGTCATAGTGATATGGTTATGATAGTGGGGTTATGACAGCAGGATCCAGGGATCTTAACAAAGTGTCCCTGGATGATTTATCTCCTGTAGGGGGAGTCCATGATCTGAAGCACTAACTGGTGTTAGTGGGCAAAACAAAAAAAATTGTAGTTTCTTTTTAAATTTTTTGATTTCAGTCAATTATCATTTATTGATGATTTTCAAAATCTCAATGTTATTAAATATAGTTTCGTCAGTGTCAGTTCATAGCAAATATAGTGTCATTTCGAAGTGCCTCTAATTAAAATGCATCAATTGAAAACAGTGTGTTGAACCTCAAAATAAGTGATAAGTATCTTTATTCTCAACTATCATGGGTCCAATAGATAAATCTTTAGATATTTACAAGACCTGGAGGCAGAGCCAGACTGGCTAATGGCCATACAGGGCACATGCCAGATGGGCCGATGCTCATTGTAGGGACGACCCAATGTACCCAAAGATGCATCTTTTCCCAGAGGGCAGCAGGGAGAAGAGTCCATGGTGGGGGTGTGAGAGCTCTTTAATAATGTCAAAATAAAAGTGAAAAAACACACTACATGCTGATCCAGCTTTGATGTAATGTTCATAGAACAAGTCAAAATGAGACTCAGTATTGTGTGTGGGATCCATTTGACTGTGGGACCTCTCACAAGGCCTGGGCATGCTCCTGATGAGGTGGCAGATGGTCTCCTGAAGGATCTCCTCCCAGACATAGACTTAAGGATCATCCAACTCCTGGACAGTCTGTGGTGCAACGTGACGTTGGTAGATGGATCAAGACATGATGTCCCAGATGGGCTCAATTATATTCAGGTCTGGGGAATGGGCAGGGCAGTCCATAGCTTCAATGCCTTTAATCTTGCAAAAACTGCTGGCACACTCCAGCAACATGAAGTATGGCATTGTCTTGCATTAGGAGGAACCCACGGCCAATCGTACAAGCATATGGTCTTACAAGGGGTCTGGGGATCTCATCTCAGTACCTAAAGGCAGTCATGCTACCTCTGTTGAGCACATGGAAGTCTGTGTGAACCTTCAAAAAAATGCCCCAGACACCGTTATTGACCCACTACCCTGTTGAGCCTGCTACCTCCCCAACACGATCCCAGATAATTGAAAGACGATAAGTTCGATCAAAAATCTGATCTTTGGCCAACAAAACGATTAAGGATATCCTGACAATTATTGTCATAGTAAGAGTTTCTCTCAATTCATCTATACACAAACGTAAACAACAAAACTGTTAGGAATCCAGTTTGCATGGCCTGTTTGTGTGTGTCCTTTTTCCACCACCAGGAGGTGCCCTGTCTTCGCTGTCCCTCCTTGCACACCTGCGACTCATTGGATCATTATCTGGAGGAGTATTTGAGCAGTGGGCTGTCACTACCTCAACGCCAGAGTGTTTGCCAGTTTTGGGTACTTTAGCCAAGCTGAGTTTAGTTGAGTCTAACCTAGCTTTGTTTCTCTGAGTCTAACCAGTTTTTTGTCTTTGCTCCATGGCAGCTTTCCTGTGTTACTGGATTCCTGGACTTTCTGTCCCTTGAAAGGAAAAACCGAGTTTACTCTGAGCAGGGGAAAACCTCCATATGTTCCGTTCAAGTACCCATCAGAAATCCGAGTGACAGTCCGCTCCATTACTCCTCCGGGTCCAACGCTTGTCAACCTGTCCGCCCTCCAACGTGTTCACTATTCTCTGGATATACCACACAGTCTGGATTCAAAAACTTACAAGACCCCCCTAAAACGTGAGTCCTATCCTTGCAAAAAGAGTTTCCAAGATTCCCACAGTACCTGAACTTGCCACTGAACTTCCCTTCTCACTTCCAGTTCCGGGTTACCAACTCAATGAGTTCCAGATCCAACTCCTAGTTTACCCCCTCAATAAACCTGTTAAACTTTTATTAATGTTTTTATTAACTGAGTTATTTTTTTTATTAACTAAGTTAATTAAGTAAATCCTGATTAATGTTCACTGCATGTGTAACCTTCAGTTCCCTGTCACTCCTCTTTAATTATGCAAACTGTCCTTCATTCATACTCTGCATTGTGTTTAAAGATGGTCAGGAGACAGGAAGAATGAAAAAAAGGTTGTTTATTTGTATTTAAAACCAAAACACAAA